GCAGTGTAACTGAGTGCTAGTAGTGCTGGTACTCCTACTGACGCTAATAATTAGTCAGAAATGACGCTGATTATGCAAGAGTGTAACAACCATGTAAACACTGATTTCAGACATCTGTTGGGTACATTTAAGTCGTTTCCAGGATAGGAATGTTACATGTCAGTGGTTTACTCACGCATAAATTTGCGGCTCCTTTCCCTAAAAAATCCAGACGACAGCTTCTTTGCTTGCTAAGAGACAAAATTACTCAATTGCTTGTTAGGCAAGTGTGGCCCTCGGGGGGGGGGGAAGTTGAACCCACACAGCAGAGGAGGCGTTTGCGCAGCCAGCGCTCTACCATTGAGCTACGAGGCTCACCGTGCGCCGTGAATTTAATCTCACTTGGCTTTATTTTACCCGCTCACCTTACTGCTTGTATGAAATCCATCATTACGAACAGCAAGCTGATTAGAGCCCAAGTAGGATTTCCTAAGCAATAATCTAGAACCCACCAGAATGACTACTAGGCTAGGGGGTGGGGATTGGCAGATCCGCTTAATTCATTTGCTTAAGTATTGTGTCTCAGTAAAGCCGAGCGAACAACAAGTTTTCTCTCGTTCCGGAAGCCAGTTTTTTTCCTGTAGAATAGAAAGAGCGGTCCAATCATGCTATGGGCTGTTGGAAAAAGATTGTTTAAATGCGCCGATTACTTTTCCGGTTAACGTACTCTTCTATCTTGCGGGCAGCCGGTGAATTCGACTTAGCATGAGACACAGAGCAAACGCCGACGCAAATGCCCGTGCACCCTTCTTGCTTCGTCATTGTTTAGGGCGTAGGTGCCCTAAGTGACTCCTGTTTTGTTTTCATGGCAGCACTTCAACTAAACAAACTAGCAATTTGCCGTGCCTATAGCAAAAAATGCCATGATCTACAAGGTCACTGAAATGGGCGCGTAAGCAATAGAGGTAGAAGACAAATTGTTTTCGTTCTCTCCATGTTATAGTTCCACTCTGTTTTATTTTGTCATTCTTTTGCTGCCTGAAGGCCATCTCAGCAACTCCTGACAGCCTATACGACCGATGCGAATATATACTGTTACTTTTTTTCAACGTTTTACTTACAGGGAAAGAGCATTTTAATCTTTAGAGAACCAAAATGCTTTTTCCCTGGCCGGTAAAACCACTTTGTCTTCCAAATTGCCACTGCCCAAAATATTCTTCCTCCTATAGCCAACGTAAACATCACACCTAGAGCTTACCGCCTTCAAACGTCAGATAGTGTTGTGAACATTGACACGCTTTCTTTCTTGTTTTCCCAAAAGACAGCACGTTAGCAGTCCTGTGTGTAGGCTAAGACGGAAAATTTGTCAAGCCGGTTGCTTTAGTCGTAGCAAACAGCCCTTGGCCGGGCAGGAGAAACGGATTTCGAGAAGGTCTCTCTAAACAACCATTCGTTCGAAAGTTGCGAGCCTAGCTCTGCTAAACCCACGTCTAAAAGGCATGACAAAAAGGCTTGCAGTGGGACACTGCTACTTATGCTGTCCAGAGTGGGCTTAACGCCTTGGCCGGCCAACAAAATCCCAGATTTAATTCGAAAGGAGTCCAGGTCCAGATCTAGCTCAGTCGGTCTAAGCTTCTCAGGAATAATGGCCGGAAATAGCTGAGTGCGTCACTACTTGCGCGATATATTTTTATTTCGTTATAAATTCCAGCTTGGAACGCAAAATTAAACAAGGCGTATATTGTACTGCGTAAAGAGTGCTCTTATGCATAATTTCACCATTTTACCCTTTTGTTTTTCACTTTGCTCTCTTTTCTTTTGGTTTATCCTCCTTAAGCTTCCTTCCCATCCTCGGTCACTTTCAGATTATGTGCTTAAATTTATAATTTCGTGTTAGCAAACAAGAACACTTTGAAGTTTCTGAAGCGTCAAAGTATCTCGGCAGGTCTTTTTTGTTGTCTATGAATTTCTTTCAAAAATTCAACATGGTCCCTATTTTGACTGTGTAGTATTCAATACCACCCTGATCGGCCATTAATTTTGAGATTTTGCCAGCAAACGGTAAACAAAGAAAGGCGTTTGGCCCCAATTTTCCTCGTTTGCGGTTCCGGTGGCTTCCACCTTTTATCTCATAAGATCCTCAATCCCCCGGGGAGAAGAGGTCAATCTACGAAACGGCAGGAACGAAAACTTCAATTGGCTGCAAATTCAATATCCTAGGGCGAGATTTCGTCGACGACTAACAAAAAAGAATAGCAGTATGCGGAGCGGCATGTTTCATCCAATCAGCGCCCAGCGATACAGGTCTGCAGCTATTCACGCATGGCATTGTAGGTGGATTGATAGGCCGGTTGATTGAATTCTCCCTGCTAATTCAGGCATTGGTCGGTTTATTTGGCGTCATCGTTGGGCCGTTACCCTGGTGACGGCGATGACAAAGGACTGGCTTTTCTCGAAGATTTTGTCGCTATTTTTGGTAGTTGGTTGCTGTGCTGGCCATTTATATTGTTCGCACTCAGCTATTGGAATTCTGAAAAATTTTCTAAGTGTTCTTACGAGAAATAAATCCAGAATTCTTCAGGCTGTCGATGAAGATTCACAACTATCATTCACGCGGTGGCAATGCCGACCTCAAATTTGGCAACAAACGTTTTTACCTCTTAACTTTTTAGCGCTACAGGGGATGCCGCAACTTGTGGGTTCCTCCAGTTTAGATTCTCTGGCGGAGTAGTGGGCAAATGCGGAATTGTGAATGGTTTTGGAAAGTTCTTCTACATAAACTGCTCGTCGAGTAACCCACTCTTAAATGAATCGCTGACTGCTGCCAAAGTTGCTGTTTTCTAATAGTTGACAGATGAATTTTCCTACTAGGTCAAAAGTTTACACGAATAAATCTTCGATTGAATTCTCCACCCCCATAGTTTTCGTTTCTAAATTTGGTGGCAAGCCTTAAAGTTCTTGGCTCAGAAAGCTACCAATCAGTTGTATTATTCAGACCTCGCACTCAAGCATGTGTTGTGGGGTGGTTGACTGGTGGACCGAGAGTCTGGCTCAGTGCTTCACGCTTAACGTGGTCTCTATGACCCTCATACTCAGGTAAGCTACGAGCCATGCTCTTGGCTCTGTCATGACCTAGTACACAATGCCCTGACCAGATAAAGCAAGACCAGCGTTGACGGGCTGTTTCCTTTTGCTAGTTACGACGTCTGAGCCCGCCTCCAGTCGGTTTGAAGCTGCGTCTTGCCACCGATCCAGACGGAGGATGGCGGGGCCAGTGCAGCAGATACAGCGCAAGTCTCTGGGGACTAATTCACGCGCAATTTGCTTTGCTGCGAGCACCGTGTTATGGCGGCAGACGCGGAAAATCAGTGAACGTGACAATCGTACTGAGGCAAGCGCGTTGTAGTTAAGGTGGCTTGAGAAGAAAACTGTCAATTTGGTGCTACCGAAATCCTGCTAAACTTGTACTGGTTCACCGGCCTAGTTAACAACTTAAACCCTATCATGTGGTGGAAAATTGGACATAGTTAATAGATTAAACGTTTGCCGCTGCAATATTCAGGTCCGGAAGAGATTAAGTGGGACGCCAGGTGGAAGAAATGGTATATGCTGTACAGAGGAAGTAGCAAAGAGGTTGAAAGAAATTGGCAGCTGGATTTGTCGTCCCACTGTGTCTTGCTCTCCAATCTAGAACCCTCGCCAGTGGGTGCAAAGTAATCGATAGCTTTATAGGAAGGAATACCGACTATACTAGGGAGAAAGGGGTGACCATTTCTGCACTATTAAACCCGGTTTCAGTGGTGGGACATTTGTACTGATGGAAGCTTCCGGTTTTTTAAACCTGGATTTAGAGATTGCTGAAATAACGGGAGTAATAAACCAGAAATGAAAACTCCATGTTCCCCGTCTTTTTCGGTACATTTAGCTCCAAAAGGGTTTCCTTTGTGTACAACAATCTCCCTGGAAATATCTGGCTCTCACCGATCCGTTTTCGGAATATGTATGCCCCGTCGTGCCTTAGAGCTCAACCTAAAGCCCTCAGAGTCAGTCGCATAGCGACCTGTCGTATGGGCAGATAAGGTGTTAAATCAAAGACAATGAAGACCGAAGTTCATAATCCCGATCACAGTCGACAGAAACAATGACCCATGCCTGAATGGTAGAGTGTTTTAGTCTATGACCAAAGGTCCCGGGTTAGAATTCCGGGGATCGCCAAACCTGGGATTGAGCGTGACTGGCTGATTATGGCTAATTAGCCAGAAATGACCGTTTCGGTCTCTTTTATTTTCTATATGAAAAGAGGAGGCGATTGTGGAACAATAGTAATGTTGTTCTGACGTTTCACGAGCAGACAAGCTTGGGGGTGAGTGTGTACCGCGCTTCGCCGTATTTATAGGTGATGAAACTTATTTTAATATGGATTTGCTTATGCAGCCGTAGTGGCAGGGCGGAAAGGGCCGGGCGAAGGGGAAAGAAGAGATCCTCAATCATCATGCCGCCCAATGAAGTGGATCGTTTTTTGACTTTGGGAATCATCCTTCGCCAGAGCTACAGCCGAAGTCTGACACAAGGGTGAAAACATCCATCAATCGTCGTGTGGCATTTCCTATGACCTATCAAGCCCTCCGGACGCCGTTCAACGAACAAAAGAGCGAACATAGGCCAGCCATGCATTTAAACGTGGGCAAGCACCTAGCGGACCCGGAGAAGGAGTAGTTTTCGCCCAGCCAATCCGGCTGATGGAGAACACAGGCGGCCATAAGCATGTAAACAAGACTCCCAGCCTGAAAGACAACAGCTGAGTTCGATAGGGGTACTGCCAGGTGTGAACGCGAGTCCACTACCAGTGGCGCCTAGCCCAGTCTTTCAAGCTCCTTCCTTCCGGGCCCACGGCGCAGGCGAAGGATGATCACCAAAGTCAAAACGCCTTCCTCATCATCAGGGGTCATGATGATTTTCGGTACCATGGGCATCGCTCCCTATAAATGCTGTGAGATGCGGTACCGCACTCGCCTCCGACGATGGAAATTTTTCTGCTCCTGAAACGTCAGCACGGCATGTACTCACCCAAGCGGATGTGCCACCCTCAAGCTCTCGCGGATGTGCCCACCAGTGTCTACCGACTCCGATCCGGTCTGGCCAATCGCCTCCTTGAGGCTGACTCACACACGGCCTCACCGAAGGTGCAAATGACTTCCACGCTCTCACAATTCGAACGCTGACCCTTGCGGCTGTGGATGCGCGCTCATCCAGTTGCCAACTTTTTTAAGCCTATTCTCTACCTAGTCCGTAAATAATACACTATAGCTCCCACCTGGCGTCCCACATCTTCTCTTCTCACACGGAACCGAATCGGAAGATCACAGCGGCAGGGGTTGTCCCTATTCATTTAAGCCACTGCAATAGATAAAACTAATGTTTCTGAGACAACCCCTTCTTTCTGTTTGGATTCGGGGACGCGCATTTTGTTCCTATTAGCAGGTATATACAGTAGATTAGATATCTGATGAAAGGGTAGGGATTGGAGGATTTAACGCACAATTGAGGTTGTTTATTTAGTTCACTGGGTTGACTTGAGGCGCAAAATGTGGTTTACTAGAATTTAGTTTCGTCCAAATAAGTATACTGGGAGAAAATAGAGGCAAAAATGGGCGAAATCCAGCGTTTATTGATATCCAAGGTATTTCCTACGTTACCAAACGCTGCGGAAAAGAACTTCTTGTTTATGAATGTTGCACTATAAAAGAACATTCATGAAGAGCAGAAACGCTTTAATTATATCTGTTCACGGAAAATTTTGTTTTGCGTCCATGAAATTGAGGTTAGTGTAGTTAGGAGATAACGCATTAATTTTGGCAAAAGAAGAGCGAAATAAGTGTAAAAAATTATATTTTGCAAATCTGGCAAGCTTTGCGCCATAAAATTCAGTAATCAACTTTTAAACTTGTTCTTTGCTATACTTCATATTAAATTTATATTTTATATTTGAGGGGTTA